TAAGTAAACATAAATGAGACAAAATGGACAGTATAAATTTATATCACTAATTGCATCTAGCAAATAAATATCATATAGTTTTCATGATTTTTACGTATCGAAGAAACACTTTTCTAATGTAAATTTCATAATAATGACATGTAATATCTTATTTTTTCTCCCATTAAAATGTGTACTTGTAAATATATATTTGGAGTTTTGTATAATTTGAAAATCCTAAAAACAAACAATATAGGCTTATCTCCAAAGCTTCAAGTAAATAATATGTTAGCTTATAAAGCTCAAACTCATGTTAGCAAAATAAAGTTTAAAAAAAAACAAATATTTTATATGATAAACTTTCATACATAAATAAAAAGCTCTCTTTACCCTTTTCCCATTAAATGGCATCCTCTCCCCTTGTTCTCTACACTCTCAAGCACAAGAAAGTTCTTGTAAAATAAATGAAAAGTGGGTCCTCTTTTGCTTTCCATGAAATAAATAAACTCAAAATAAAAACTTCATGAGGTAGAGCGATATTGGTAGATCCTTGTAATATATTAGGGACAAACCCACACATCTTCAAGAATAAAAGTAAAATAAAACATTATCCAAATTACATGTGAATGTGTATCTGATCGTTACCTTAGTAGAGCCTTTCCTAATATAACTTTGAAAGCGATCTAACATCCATCTCTTACATAAAAATTATTAATAAATTTAATATATAATCATTTTCTATAATACATCATACGATTTTCTACAAAGAAACTTAAAATGGATATTATTTAGCTGGTTAATTTTAGGGATGTTACCATATAAAATATCTACAATTAATTTGAGTATTATTTAATTTTTACCTTAACGATTTATCATATTAAAATTTAGATCATTTCAAATAAAATAACATGTAATTATCAAAAATAGATCTATCAACATTAAGCAACTCATATGAAGTTTTATTATTGCACACTAATGGGAATAAAATGAACCAATATGCATTATCTGTTTAATCTATATTTTCTTTTATTTGATAGTTCTATTAAACAATAGATAAAATGAAAATTATTAAAGCACTATTTCTAAAAATAAATTCAAATGTTTTATCTCCTAAAAAATAATTATGGATTTTACTTTGAAAATATTTTTTTATATATACATTCTACATAGGGATAATGTCATGAAATTTAAATTTAAATTCTTTTCATCTAAGTATAATTTCATTTTTTTTAAATTAAATTTTTTTATTCTTATATTAGAAACTAACAATAAAATTCTAATTCATAACCATACTATATAAGTAGCCACTAACAAGCAAAACTGAAGTGGTTGCACTTACCAATAAGTTGTTTAACACCTCCAAACCATAAGAACTAGCAAATATTTTTCTATAAGAGGGGAAATTATCGTAAATCCCAATATAATATCCTTAATTGAAAAAAAATTATTCGAACTAAAATTGTTTAGAAACAAATCTAAGTTGTAACTAAAACAAATTTGCAAGTTCTTAACACTCTTCACACCTTTCGCTTATAACTACCTCCCTAAATATCCAAGCTAACCGAGTTCCATTGAACAGACATTGTAAAACAACACATTGTTTTTTATATATAAATATTTCTCATTAACAACCGCTTCCAATATTCATTTCACTTTATCACATATCTCAATCTCTCTATTGAAACAAAATGCAGAAAACAAACTCAAATATAGAGGTGTTAAGGGTGCAAGCACTATCAATTCTCTGTACACCTCACCCTTTTCTTGATTTTTCTTTCTTAGCTCCCATTCAAGATAAAGTTGATCAATGCTGTGACACAAAGGACCCAATAAGTGACGACGCGTCTTTTGATTTTGATGGCTTTGCTTTCATTCAAGATAAACTTAATCCATATTGTAGCACAAAAATACAAATTAACAGCGATTCTTTTTTAGATTTTGAAGTCTTTGCTCCCGTTAAAGATAAATCTGAATCATATTGCAGCTCCAATCAACAAATTCACAATAGTGATGGAGAAAATACTGAAGAGCGAGAATTTACTTTTTCATGCACTGATGTCCAAGGTATGGAAATATTTGCCGATGACAAATTTGAAAATGGAAAAATGCGAACATTACTCCCTACTTTTAACCAATCTCTTCAATTCTTCCCCACCACAAATAACAATGCTTCACATCTTCGACCTCCCATAAAGAACATCTTTATTATGAATTCTATAAGTCCAAAATCAATATCGGGTGGTATTTCTAAAAAACTCAAAATGAGTTATTGCTAAATATGACAATTAAAAGTTCAAGTGATTGCTATGAAAAAAGCAACTCCACAGGGTCATCAAATCTATGGAGACTTAGACAAAATTTGAATCTTCGAAGTAATAGTGACCATATGGATTCTTATGTCATATTGAATCCTTCGGTGCCAAAAACAACAATCAAGCCCAAGGTAGATGACATCATTGTTAAAAAGAGAAAGGGTGATCAACCCAAAAATACATTATCGGCTTATGAGAAGCTTTATGTGAAGAATAAAATGAGAAAAGGAATAAATAAACGAAGATCTTTCTTGCCATACAAACACAATATATTTGGATTCTTTACCAACATGCACGGACTGAGTAGGAACCTGCACCCCTTTTGAGATTGAATTATCAACTTTTTTCATTGTTGACGATTTATATTATTTTGACAATGTAGATTAATTTAATGTACATAGTCATTAGCCAAATAGCGTTAGGATTTTTAATTTTTTTTCTCTTGACAAAAATCAAGTGCTAATAATTCCCCTTATGATAATGAGGACATAATGGTTTGTTATTTTATGATAGAGTCCAAATTCTCACGTGTGTCTAATTACAGGGTAACCTGTGATGCACATATATTTTTGTCATATCAAGTTATAATGGATAGTAACCTAAAACATGACAAGAAATTATAAATTTTGATTTCATCTTACACCATTGTCACCATATTAAAATGGATTTGTTTATTTTAAGAGTATATTTTGTCTTTTAACATAGAAGAAATGTCAACTTCAATTTTTTATATGGAATGACAGAATTAAAATTAGTTTATGTGGTACCTATGACAAATATTCGACCTTAGAACCTTGTTACAAATCACATTAAGTGACTACCTCAAATGATTATTGTTTTAAATGAGTTTGTAACGCCTTTTTCCCATCATTATTTTGTTTCGCAACCGACAAATGGAATAACATAGGCTCCACCAAAATAGCTATAGAACTCCTTTGTAATTCTACTTGTTCTTTTTTGCATGATTTTTTTCCTTCCAGTCAATAGAAAAAAGCATTGTGAAGAGAGTTTAAATAGGTACGTAAAAGTGGTCACTTGAATAAGTAAACATAAATGAGACAAAATGGACAGTATAAATTTATATCACTAATTGCATCTAGCAAATAAATATCATATAGTTTTCATGATTTTTACGTATCGAAGAAACACTTTTCTAATGTAAATTTCATAATAATGACATGTAATATCTTTTTTTTTCTCCCATTAAAATGTGTACTTGTAAAAATATATTTGGAGTTTTGTATAATTTGAAAATCCTAAAAACAAACAATATAGGCTTATCTCCAAAGCTTCAAGTAAATAATAAGTTAGCTTATAAAGCTCAAACTCAAGTTAGCAAAATAAAGTTTAAAAAAAAACAAATATTTTATATGATAAACTTTCATACATAAATAAAAAGCTCTCTTTACCCTTTTCCCATTAAATGCCATCCTCTCTCCTTGTTCTCTACACTCTCAAGCACAAGAAATTCTTGTAAAATAAATGAAAAGTTGGTCCTCTTTTGCTTTTCATGAAATAAATAAACTCAAAATAAAAACTTCATGAGGTAGAGCGATATTGGTAGATCCTTGTAATATATTAGGGACAAACCCACACATCTCAAGAAATAAAAGTAAAATAAAACATTATCCAAATCACATGTGAATGTGTATCTGATCGTTACCTTAGTAAAGCCTTTCCTAATATAACTTTGAAAGCGATCTAACATTCATCTCTTACATAAAATTTATTAATAAATTTAATATATAATCATTTTCTATAATACATCATACGGTTTTCTACAAAGAAACTTAAAATAGATATTATTTAGCTGGTTAATTTTGGGGATTTTACAATATAAAATATCTACAATTAATTTGAGTATTATTTAATTTTTACCTTAACGATTTATCATATTAAAATATAGATCATTTCAAATAAAATAACATGTAATTATCAAAAATAGATCTATCAACATTAAACAACTCATATGAAGTTTTATTATTGCACACTAATGGGAATAAAATGAACCAATATGCATTATTTGTTTAATCTATATTTTCTTTTATTTGATAGTTCTATTAAACAATAGATAAAATGAAAATTATTAAAGCACTATTTCTAAAAATAAATTCAAATGTTTTATCTCCTAAAAAATAATTATGGATTTTACTTTGAAAATATTTTTATATATATACGTTCTACATAGGGATAATGTCATGAAACTTAAATTTAAATTCTTTTCATCTAAGTATAATTTCATTTTTTTTCAATTAAATTTTTTTATTCTTATATTAGAAACTAACAATAAAATTCTAATTGAAAACCATACTATATAAGTAGCCACTAACAAGCAAAACTGAAGTGGTTGCACTTACCAATAAGTTGTTTAACACCTCCAAACCATAAGAACTAGCAAATGTTTTTCTATAAGAGGGGAAATTATCGTAAATCCCAATATAATATCCTTAATTGAAAAAAAAAATTATTCGAACTAAAATTATTTAGAAACAAATCTAAGTTGTAACGTAAAACAAATTTGCAAGTTCTTAACACTCTTCACACCTTTCGCTTATAACTACCTCCCTAAATATCCAAGCTAACCGAGTTCCATTGAACTGACATTGTAAAACAACACATTGTTTTTTATATATAAATATTTCTCATTAACAACCGCTTCCAATATTCATTTCACTTTATCACATATCTCAATCTCTCTATTGAAACAAAATGCAGAAAACAAACTCAAATATAGAGGTGTTAAGGGTGCAAGCACTATCAATTCTCTGTACACCTCACCCTTTTCTTGATTTTTCTTTCTTAGCTCCCATTCAAGATAAAGTTGATCAATGCTGTGACACAAAGGACCCAATAAGTGACGACGCGTCTTTTGATTTTGATGGCTTTGCTTTCATTCAAGATAAACTTAATCCATATTGTAGCACAAAAATACAAATTAACAGCGATTCTTTTTTAGATTTTGAAGTCTTTGCTCCCGTTAAAGATAAATCTGAATCATATTGCAGCTCCAATCAACAAATTCACAATAATGATGGAGAAAATACTGAAGAGCGAGAATTTACTTTTTCATGCACTGATGTCCAAGGTATGGAAATATTTGCCGATGACATATTGGAAAATGGAAAAATGCGAACATTACTCCCTACTTTTAACCAATCTCTTCAATTCTTCCCCACCACAAATAACAATGCTTCACATCTTCGACCTCCCATAAAGAACATCTTTATTATGAATTCTATAAGTCCAAAATCAATATCGGGTGGTATTTCTAAAAAACTCAAAATGAGTTATTGCTAAATATGACAATTAAAAGTTCAAGTGATTGCTATGAAAAAAGCAACTCCACAGGGTCATCAAATCTATGGAGACTTAGACAAAATTTGAATCTTCGAAGTAATAGTGACCATATGGATTCTTATGTCATATTGAATCCTTCGGTGCCAAAAACAACAATCAAGCCCAAGGTAGATGACATCATTGTTAAAAAGAGAAAGGGTGATCAACCCAAAAATACATTATCGGGTTATGAGAAGCTTTATGTGAAGAATAAAATGAGAAATGGAATAAATAAACGAAGATCATTCTTGTCATATAAACACAATATATTTGGATTCTTTACCAACATGCACGGACTGAGTAGGAACCTGCACCCCTTTTGAGATTGAATTATAAACTTTTTTCATTGTTGAGGATTTATATTATTTTGACAATGTAGATTAATTTAATGTACATAGTCATTAGCCAAATAGCGTTAGGATTTTTAATTTTTTTCTCTTGACAAAAATCAAGTGCTAATAATTCCCCTTATGATAATGAGGAGAGAATGGTTTGTTATTTTATGATAGAGTCCAAATTCTCACGTGTGTCTAATTATAGGGTAACCTGTGATGCACATATATTTTTGTCATATCAAGTTATAATGGATCGTAACCTAAAACATGACAAGAAATTATAACTTTTGATTTCATCTTACACCATTGTCACCATATTAAAATGGATTTGTTTATTTTAAGAGTATATTTTGTCTTTTAAAATAGAAGAAATGTCAACTTCAATTTTTTATATGGAATGACAGAATAAAAATTAGTTTATGTGGTACCTATGACAAATATTCGACCTTAGAACCTTGTTACAAATCACATTAAGTGACTACCTCAAATGATTATTGTTTTAAATGAGTTTGTAACGCCTTTTTCCCATCATTATTTTGTTTCGCAACCGACAAATGGAATAACATAGGCTCCACCAAAATAGCTATAGAACTCCTTTGTAATTCTACTTGTTCTTTTTTGCATGATTTTTTTCCTTCCAGTCAATAGAAAAAAGCATTGTGAAGAGAGTTTAAATAGGTACGTAAAAGTGGTCACTTGAATAAGTAAACATAAATGAGACAAAATGGACAGTATAAATTTATATCACTAATTGCATCTAGCAAATAAATATCATATAGTTTTCATGATTTTTACGTATCGAAGAAACACTTTTCTAATGTAAATTTCATAATAATGACATGTAATATCTTATTTTTTCTCCCATTAAAATGTGTACTTGTAAATATATATTTGGAGTTTTGTATAATTTGAAAATCCTAAAAACAAACAATATATGCTTATCTCCAAAGCTTCAAGTAAATAATATGTTAGCTTATAAAGCTCAAACTCATGTTAGCAAAATAAAGTTTAAAAAAAAACAAATATTTTATATGATAAACTTTCATACATAAATAAAAAGCTCTCTTTACCCTTTTCCCATTAAATGGCATCCTCTCCCCTTGTTCTCTACACTCTCAAGCACAAGAAAGTTCTTGTAAAATAAATGAAAAGTGGGTCCTCTTTTGCTTTCCATGAAATAAATAAACTCAAAATAAAAACTTCATGAGGTAGAGCGATATTGGTAGATCCTTGTAATATATTAGGGACAAACCCACACATCTTCAAGAATAAAAGTAAAATAAAACATTATCTAAATTACATGTGAATGTGTATCTGATCGTTACCTTAGTAGAGCCTTTCCTAATATAACTTTGAAAGCGATCTAACATCCATCTCTTACATAAAAATTATTAATAAATTTAATATATAATCATTTTCTATAATACATCATACGATTTTCTACAAAGAAACTTAAAATGGATATTATTTAGCTGGTTAATTTTAGGGATGTTACCATATAAAATATCTACAATTAATTTGAGTATTATTTAATTTTTACCTTAACGATTTATCATATTAAAATTTAGATCATTTCAAATAAAATAACATGTAATTATCAAAAATAGATCTATCAACATTAAGCAACTCATATGAAGTTTTATTATTGCACACTAATGGGAATAGAATGAACCAATATGCATTATCTGTTTAATCTATATTTTCTTTTATTTGATAGTTCTATTAAACAATAGATAAAATGAAAATTATTAAAGCACTATTTCTAAAAATAAATTCAAATGTTTTATCTCCTAAAAAATAATTATGGATTTTACTTTGAAAATATTTTTTTATATATACATTCTACATAGGGATAATGTCATGAAATTTAAATTTAAATTCTTTTCATCTAAGTATAATTTCATTTTTTTTAAATTAAATTTTTTTATTCTTTTATTAGAAACTAACAATAAAATTCTTATTCATAACCATACTATATAAGTAGCCACTAACAAGCAAAACTGAAGTGGTTGAACTTACCAATAAGTTGTTTAACACCTCCAAACCATAAGAACTAGCAAATATTTTTTCTATAAGAGGGTAAATTATCGTAAATCCCAATATAATATCCTTAATTGAAAAAAAAATTATTCGAGCTAAAATTGTTTAGAAACAAATCTAAGTTGTAACGTAAAACAAATTTGCAAGTTCTTAACACTCTTCACACCTTTCGCTTATAACTACCTCCCTAAATATCCAAGCTAACCGAGTTCCATTGAACTGACATTGTAAAACAACACATTGTTTTTTATATATAAATATTTCTCATTAACAACCTCTTCCAATATTCATTTCACTTTATCACATATCTCAATCTCTCTATTGAAACAAAATGCAGAAAACAAACTCAAATATAGAGGTGTTAAGGGTGCAAGCACTATCAATTCTCTGTACACCTCACCCTTTTCTTGATTTTTCTTTCATAGCTCCCATTCAAGATAAAGTTGATCCATGTTGTGACACAAAGAACCCAATAAGTGACGACGCGTCTTTTGATTTTGATGGTTTTTCTTTCATTCAAGATAATCTTAATCCATATTGTAGCACACAAATACAAATTAACAGCGATTCTTTTTTAGATTTTGAAGTCTTTGATCCCGTTAAAGATAAATCTGAATCATATTGCAGCTCCAATCAACAAATTCACAATAGTGATGGAGAAAATACTGAAGAGCGAGAATTTACTTTTTCATGCACTGATGTCCAAGGAATGGAAATATTTGCCGATGACCTATTTGAAAATGGAAAAATGCGAACATTACTCCCTACTTTTAACCAATCTCTTCAATTCTTCCCCACCACAAATAACAATGCTTCACATCTTGGACCTCCCATAAAGAACGTCTTTATTAAGAATTCTATAAGTCCAAATTCAATATCGGGTGGTATTTCTAAAAAAACTCAAAATGAGTTATTGCTAAATATGACAATTAAAAGTTCAAGTGATTGCTATGAAAAAAGCAACTCCACAGGGTCATCAAATCTATGGAGACTTAGACAAAATTTGAATCTTCGAAGTAATAGTGACCATATGGATTCTTATGTCATATTGAATCCTTCGGTGCCAAAAACGACAATCAAGCACAAGGTAGATGACATCATTGTTAAAAAGAGAAAGGGTGATCAACCCAAAAATACATTATCGGCTTATGAGAAGCTTTATGTGAAGAATAAAATGAGAAAAGGAATAAATAAACGAAGATCTTTCTTGCCATACAAACACAATATATTTGGATTCTTTACCAACATGCACGGACTGAGTAGGAACCTGCACCCCTTTTGAGATTGAATTATCAACTTTTTTCATTGTTGACGATTTATATTATTTTGACAATGTAGATTAATTTAATGTACATAGTCATTAGCCAAATAGCGTTAGGATTTTTAATTTTTTTTCTCTTGACAAAAATCAAGTGCTAATAATTCCCCTTATGATAATGAGGACATAATGGTTTGTTATTTTATGATAGAGTCCAAATTCTCACGTGTGTCTAATTACAGGGTAACCTGTGATGCACATATATTTTTGTCATATCAAGTTATAATGGATAGTAACCTAAAACATGACAAGAAATTATAACTTTTGATTTCATCTTACACCATTGTCACCATATTAAAATGGATTTGTTTATTTTAAGAGTATATTTTGTCTTTTAACATAGAAGAAATGTCAACTTCAATTTTTTATATGGAATGACAGAATTAAAATTAGTTTATGTGGTACCTATGACAAATATTCGACCTTAGAACCTTGTTACAAATCACATTAAGTGACTACCTCAAATGATTATTGTTTTAAATGAGTTTGTAACGCCTTTTTCCCATCATTATTTTGTTTCGCAACCGACAAATGGAATAACATAGGCTCCACCAAAATAGCTATAGAACTCTTTTGTAATTCTACTTGTTCTTTTTTGCATGATTTTTTTCCTTCCCGTCAATAGAAAAAAGCATTGTGAAGAGAGTTTAAATAGGTACATAAAAGTGGTCACTTGAATAAGTCAACATAAATGAGACAAAATGGACAATATAAATTTATATCACTAATTGCATCTAGCAAATAAATATCATATAGTTTTCATGATTTTTACGTATTGAAGAAACACTTTTCTAATGTAAATTTCATAATAATGACATGTAATATCTTTTTTTTTCTCCCATTAAAATGTGTACTTGTAAAAATATATTTGGAGTTTTGTATAATTTGAAAATCCTAAAAACAAACAATATAGGCTTATCTCCAAAGCTTCAAGTAAATAATATGTTAGCTTATAAAGCTCAAACTCAAGTTAGCAAAATAAAGTTTAAAAAAAAACAAATATTTTATATGATAAACTTTCATACATAAATAAAAAGCTCTCTTTACCCTTTTCCCATTAAATGCCATCCTCTCTCCTTGTTCTCTACACTCTCAAGCACAGGAAATTCTTGTAAAATAAATGAAAAGTTGGTCCTCTTTTGCTTTTCATGAAATAAATAAACTCAAAATAAAAACTTCATGAGGTAGAGCGATATTGGTAGATCCTTGTAATATATTAGGGACAAACCCACACATCTCAAGAAATAAAAGTAAAATAAAACATTATCCAAATCACATGTGAATGTGTATCTGATCGTTACCTTAGTAAAGCCTTTCCTAATATAACTTTGAAAGCGATCTAACATTCATCTCTTACATAAAATTTATTAATAAATTTAATATATAATCATTTTCTATAATACATCATACGGTTTTCTACAAAGAAACTTAAAATAGATATTATTTAGCTGGTTAATTTTGGGGATTTTACAATATAAAATATCTACAATTAATTTGAGTATTATTTAATTTTTACCTTAACGATTTATCATATTAAAATATAGATCATTTCAAATAAAATAACATGTAATTATCAAAAATAGATCTATCAACATTAAACAACTCATATGAAGTTTTATTATTGCACACT